TTTTTTCTCAGAAATAGAATGAATGATAACAAAATTTTGAGATGTCCATCCAAAAAGTCAAAGTCTAAAAGCCACAGTTTGTGTCTTAACATCAAACAGGCTCAGCCTTTGAAATGAGCGTATCAGTTAAGCTGACTCACAAAGATGAGGTCCCACTTTTCCAGCTGTGAATGACTCAAAGGACTGAGACATACTTCACATACTTAACATCCTATTCTGATGGACACACAGCACAGAAATGATGCCACTGAAAGAAGATGGAACCCAGGGATCTGTTACAAATCACACCCCACACCAAGATTCTAAGTGATTAGAGGGGGAGCTTGTTCTTTCAATTCCCTTTCTGATTTTAAGAACAGAAATATCCAGGCATCCATCCATAACCTCTTTCCATAAAGAGTGAGAATCATGAATCAGAGAAACACTCCAGGATAAATGAAGTTAAGACTCATGTAACTAAAACTGAATCAAAGCTTCATAGATACAGTATGTATTATTCTGCGAGTAAAAGACCTTATAGGAAAAGAAACCAGTTGGTCATGTCTTGTGTGAGTCACTTAAATGGACAAGTGGGTTTTCATGACCTTGGGAATATCTAGGTTTACAGGGCACATGCAGTAGGGCTGAGCTCATTGTGAGGACATGTTCGTTTTCATTGGCAAAAAGGGAAAGGAAGTGAGCCAGGCCCTAAAAAATGCCACTAGAGACATTCCAGCCGATCCTCGATAAGGACGGGGAATGCTGCCATCAGCTCATGGCTGGAAGAAGGAAACTTGGATCAGAGAGCAGCTGACCAGGAGACACCACGTTAGGTGTGGGAACCATTTCCCATTAAACTACACATTTCAACAAGGGAGTCAGTTCAACCAGTGGTTTTCAATTTTTTTTGCTGTGACTCACAGTAGGAAACATACATTGTATCATGATCCATAAATGTGCACAAACATATATAAGAACCGACACATGGGTGTTTGTAACTGATACATGCTTACCTTTCTTGTGTACAAAGTACTATGATGGTTTCCATCCTGTTCTACTTGGTGTTCTAAACACACTGGTTGAGAAAAACAGTGTTTTAGATTCTGACGGCACTGAGAGTCTGAGGGTACATTTCACAACAGCCTTTATTCCTCCCCCACAGCCCCACAGCTAACTCGGGGGAGCTGCTAGGGAGCATCTGCTCTGAGACAAGTGACTTGATTTTGATACTTGGATAGAGCAGGCTGCCTCCTCCACGACTGGCCATTCCTCACTATGCTGGCCCCTCCTCCTCTTTGTGTCCCTTAAATGCTGGTGTGTCCCCAGCAGCTGTGTCTGATCTCTTTACCCTCTGAGTCAGTTTACCTCCACGGCTTCCCTACCAGTGAAGGACAATTGCTCATAAACCCCATTCACTGGGCTCCAATTCTCAGCACTCACCCCTTATATATCCCCCACTGAACTCTCCCACAGATTTCAAACTCATTAGGTCCCAAATAATATATAATTTATATTATAATTTATATAGAATCCCTCTTTGGGTGAGGAGATAGGGAAGAGGGATTACTCTACCAAGGGTGACAAAGTAAGGCTCTGTCTCAAAAAAGAAAGAAAGAAAGAAAGAAAATGTCAAATACTGGAGTGTGTGGCCAACTCGGACAGTTTTTGGTAGGATCCTAGAAATGACTTAGCCATAGCCAAGGCGGCCCATCTGAATGCAAAGAAAATTCTGCTTCACTAAGACTGGGCTGTCTCTCTTGGCAGGAATCCAAGATGATGACAACTCAGAAAATCATGAAGGACTATGTAATTTGAATTCTTGGCCCAAGTCAATGATAACACTAGAAAAAAGAAACAAAGGAAACATAACAATAGATGGGACCAAGAGAACTGGGGGAGCCTGATCCCACCCCCTGATACATTCTCCTTCCCTGATAGAGAGTGAAGCCCTGAGATGAAGCCCCAGAATGAGAAACGGCTGAGTGGCCCAAAGAAGCAACCCTGAGAGCTGGAAGACAGCAGAGCAGCAGGGCTGACTTCTAGGAGAGACGCCCCAGGCCAGCGCCCAGAGCAAGATCAACCCAGAGTGAAAAGGCGCAGGGACCAGCAGCTTGACTTAAACTTCCAGCAGCTCTGTAAAGTCAAGTCTACCTTGCTCCAAAATCAATCTCCAGGGATGCTGCGCCACAGCCCCACCAGAACTGATACCCTGCCAGGAAAATCCTACCCAAGGTGCTTCTCACACGTGTCCGTGGATTTCATGAGGGAACAGAGAGGAGGTTTAATAGTACGCGGGGCAGTGAGGTCCATCAACTACTACACAAGTGTCTGACTTGGAAGAGAAAAGCCTGATCTGTAACGGTCAGCACTATCACCAACCTGCATCAAAGACACAGGGACAAAAGATTTAGAGGGAGCAACAGAAAAAAGTCTGGAATTCAGATTATGTGGGAGAGATCAATGTAAGAAAACTTATATTCCTTGAGTTGTATTAAGAATGGCTTTGATTCTGAATCAAATAAGAATATTTGTCTCAAACCACTTACACCCTATCAGTTATCGACTGGGGAGTCGGGTTACCAAATGAAGCCATTTCAAAAGGAGCTGTGGGATAGAAGCCTGGGCACTGTTTGCCTTCCTCTGGGAGAAGGGAGCTCAGATGCTGCCATGTGCCCGGCTGAATCAGCGGTGGCTCCTGGCGTGGTCCCTCCAGGACCAGCACTGGTGTAAAGCATCCTTTTCTTACACCTTCTGTGACACGTCCCCTACAAGTAACATAACTTACCCTGCATTTCTATTAAATGGCAGAGAATCATGTGGGAGCAGGGAAAAATTACTAATTCCTTATGGCTGGAATATCACTTACTTCCTAAGAAAGATATAATGTAATCACTTAGACCCAGTGTATCCTCCCATCATTTGCATTAACCACCCTGAGAAAACAGCCTCAGTTCCAAACTGGAAGGAAGACTTAGGTTCTGTGGGCAAAGGAAATAGCACAGGGTAGGTGGGGCCGTGGTGAGCAAGGGCAAGCTTGGGATGATTCTGCTCAAGGTATTTTCACACTGATGAACATGAGGCCTTCACTGGCTTGTTAAAATAGTGCTGCGTGGTGAGAGACGCTGGCACATTCCCTGTAGATGAGATGGCCCTGGGGGTTTGAACAACACTTGGAATACAGCTGCCTTGGCTAAAACCAAGCCAGGACAGATGTCACAGCAAACTGGAAATAATTTCATACCATCCCCTGGTGCTAAATTCAAAATACCAATGGAGGAAAAGTACTGGGGAAAGAGGGCTTTAAAACAGATGAGGTAACTTCATTAAATATGTATGTAACTGTATACATACTATACAGTTCTGTATGTAACTAAAACTTTTGCTGCAGAGGCCCGTGAGCAACAGATATTAAAGTGCTCAGTGGAAACCTGACTGCTCAGCCAAATGGAAGCACGGCAGGGGCTGCTCGCAGAGGCTGGACAGCGCGTCAGACCCGTCACTAGTCCCCAGACTCATAACTCTGAAAGCCGGTTTGGAAAATGGCCTTCTACAATGCAACATTTTTCTTTCCTTTCTTCCTTCAATAGTTGTTCTCCTTATAAGTAGCACCATGGACCATTTTCAATGTTCTTAACTGACAGGCTAGATGAGAAGATATATCAAAAGCTCACGTCACCACATCACAGTGTCATTTCCCTGAGAAACATAACCCAGGGAAGGGGGACATTGTTCACACATACACACTTACCAAATGCCTTCTTAGGTTCTATTAACGTCATGGTAAACTGTTCCCCTTTTTTCAATTCCTTTAACTTCTGAGCAACAGCATAGTGACGCCAGCCAACAACACTTTCTCCATTTATAGATTCAATATGATCCCCCACACAAATGGTTTGGACTGAGTCGATAACGCCACCATCTCTAATTCTCTGAAAAGAAAATTAATGACAACATAACGCAAAAACATTATGTAACATTATTGTTCATGCTTTTGAGACATTACAGACAAGGTACTGACCTGTTAACAATTCAGTTTAATGTTTAATCAGAGATCAAAGACAAAGCAACAAAGCA